TGACTTTCACTACTCTATCATTTTGAACTTTATATATATACTCGTATAGGTGAAAAATAAAGCTTCCGCCTTTTGTTGGGTACTTCGACAAAATCCAAGCAATGTGGACTCTTTATACTTTATTAATCTCTAGCTTTCAATGGACTTTGCCATCTTCATCAGGAGCTGCAACAACATTGAGAAGAAATAGCAAGTATTGTGCAAAAATGTTTTTAAATTAACTTACAGTAGTATGTGAGATTGTTGCTGAATGTTATTAACGTTTAGGTTGAGGGAAACACCCAGTAAACTGGTGAAAGCTGGATTCATGGTACATTCGTCAAAATTAATATAAACTACACACAGCTGTATGTAAGGAACAAATTAAAACGGATTAAAAATATTTAAAACGAAAGTTAAAATTACGTCGTGAACCAGTGATGCTGCAGAAAATGGGGCGTCACAAGATCATAAGCAGGATGAAACATTTGACAGATGACAGAAGGTATATATATATATATACGAGCCCCTTCCCACTTCAGCTGGCCCAACTATTGAAATTTTAGTTTTTTTCTTATCAAACACACCGTTTAACAATTTCTTACATAACATTCTGAAAATCACATCATCTGAAGTGATTTGGCAACGTATTGGCACACGCCCACAATTCGTTCCATCTTTCAACACAGACATTGACAACCTTCGGGATTCTGTCAAAGGTTCATCTCACTCATTATTCCATGACCACCATTTTGTGCAATCATCAAGTGGCTTCACGACGTAATGCTCTAATGTTTTCTAAATAATTTTTAATCTGTCTTTAACTTGTCTTGTCATATTTTATATAATTTTAACCATTGTACCATGTATCCAGCTCTCACCATGTTACTGGACGTTTCCCTCATCCTATACGAAAACAACAATTAGCAACATCCTCACATACTACTGTAAGTTGATTCAATTTAAATTCATTTTACACTTTTGTTGCTACTGTTATCATTGTAATTGCAGCTCCTGATGATGATGGCAAAGTCCATTGAAAGCTAGAGAGAATTAAAAAGTATAAAGAGTCCTCTTTGCTAAAATTTTATCGAAGTACCCAACAAAAGGCGGAAGCTTTAATTTTTCACCTATATATATATATATATATACATGTATATACAGGGTTATCCAAATTGTGTCCACCATTAGTAACTTTGTTATTAGTGAAAATACAAAGTTGTTTGAATTAGCAAACTAGTAGCATTTTTAACGCTGGTAAAAATGAGAAATAAAAAAAAACAATTGACAGTCGTTATTTTGATTTTTTTCAGTAAAATAACATTTTTTTAAATGGAAACCCCTGTATATTATATTTTTTTCTGTTAAAGCATCAAATTTTAAACAAAAAAGCTTACAATAACTTTTCTCCTAGGTTACAAATTGTTGAAGTTATGGCCTCCAATCTGAAACAATTAAATTGTATCGACAAACTTTATTTTCAACATCAACTTATAATCTTACAAAATACAATAACAATTTTTTTTAAAGAAGATGCTTGAAAACACCACCTTGTTCTTCAATACATTTTTGGGCACGTTTTTCAACTGCTCGAAGTGTCTTAAGTATGGTCCTACCATCTATCTGGGTTATCTTTTCCCTAACTGCAGTCTTTAACGCGTCAAGGTTATCGTACCTTCGCTTGTAAATTTGGTTCTTTAAGTAACCCCACAAGAAGTAATCAAGTGGGTTTAGATCTGGTGATCTGGGAGGCCACTGTATTGGGCCATTTGTTCCTATCCACTGATCATTAAAAGTAGTACTTAGAAAATGATAAGTACCTCTGGAGTTGTGGGCAGGTGCGCCATCTTGCTGAAAATGCAGATGATGTCTACTTATAAGATCCAATTCGTCTAAGAAATTTGTCAGAATTTCTGACATAAATTCCACATATCTTTCACCAGTTAGGGTTCCCTCATAAAAGAACGGGCCAACAATTTTTGAACCAATTATACCGCACCAAACGTTGAAACTGAAACGGACTTGTGGGCCTCTTGGATGTACTAACAAAAGATTTTCTCTTGACCAATAATGGTGGTTTTTTCTATTAAACATTCCAGAATTTGAAAAATTTGATTCATCTGTCCATAAAAGGTAACGAAAGTTATTTACATTTTGGCGACAGAAGCTAAGATACCAATGGCAAAAAACAAGTCTTCTCTCTGGATCCCCTGCCAAAAGCGTTTGAACTGGTCGGTACTTATACGGAATAAATTTGTATTTTTTTAAAATCCTTTGAACAGTACCATAACTGAAATTAGAGTCCTTGAGAATATCTGCTATTGAATTCTCACGATAAGCTTCAAAATATCCAATAACTGCAATTTCCGTGGCCTCGCTTATTATGAATTCTTTTTTTGCCCTTGTTTTAGCAAAAACATTTTCGTTGCCCCTAAATTTTCGATAAAGTCTCAGAAAATATCGTTCATACGGTTGAATGCGAGCGGGATATAATTCACTGTAGTATTCTCTTGCTCTCAAGGAGGATTTTCTGCACACTAAATAGCATTCTAACATATCACACTTTTCTTCATGGGAGAACATTTTTCTTTAAATTAATGACACAATAAAGCTTATAAACAAGTATTTACGCTAATGTTTGACATTATTTGATTTTATCATTGTTTTCCAAAGCCTTCTAGTTGCGAGTATGTCCAGTTTAACAATTTGTCGCTTATCTTAATGCTGTCAAATCGCGAACGCCATGTTGTTTTCATAGCCGTCTTAATATTATAATACTGCAAATAATTAAAAATATTTATCGTTATTTTGACTTTATTTTTGACTTTAGCGGAAAAGTCATTATGAACTTTTTTGTTTAAAATTTGATGCTTTAACAGAAAAAAATATAATATACAGGGGTTTCCATTTAAAAAAATGTTATTTTACTGAAAAAAATCAAAATAACGACTCTCAATTGTTTTTTTTTATTTCTCATTTTTACCAGCATTAAAAATGCTACTAGTTTGCTAATTCAAACAACTTTGTATTTTCACTAATAACAAAGTTACTAATGGTGGACACTTAATTTGGATAACCCTGTATACACGATATATATTTCATTATTCATTATTCATCCCAGTTCATAGCTAAGACAAGACAACGTCTGTCGGGTCAGCTAGTAAATAATATGAATAAAACAGCCGAATGTCGAGGAAGTATTGTAATAGCGAAAAATTTTGATATGTGATATTGGATGTTACATGACATGTACATTCGATTGCCATCTCCTAAAATACCAAACTCTTTACTTTACTAGGCCGGACATGTTTTTCTCAAAGCCGGACATTATTTATGGGGGTGGTTGCGATTGAAAACTGAAGAGCCGGGGGGGGGGGGGTTATAATTGAAGAACGGTTGGGGGGAGGGGTTGTCCGCGATTGAGCGTTAATTTATTTATTTATTCATTTATTTATTACGAATTCAGGGTGTTAACAGCCGGAGCCAACACACAACCACTAGATTAAATTTTGAATGAAAATATGCATATTTAAATTATTATAAATATAGTAAACTTATAAATTAAACATCTATTGTAGAAGTTATATCGTTAAAATGTTAAAATAATAAAAAACATGAAATTGTCTGTGGAAAATAACAAACAGTTGGTGTAGATGTAATTAATTCGAGAGTTTTGATTTAAGTTTGCGCTTAAAGCAAGCAATATTATGGCGGAACAGGTCTTCTTCACAAAACTGATTGTATGCCCTTTGTGCCCTTATCAATGGAGAATTAATACCTAGATTTGTGCGACAATATAGTGTCGGTAATTCCTGTCTGGTGCATTAAAATTAACTGAAGAAAGTATAATTCTTATTCGACAAATAAAACAGTGCCTTATTTGTATCTTAAATTTCTTACCCATTTATCATTAAACGAACATTGTTTACTAAATTTTCTTTTCAAATTTTTCTTTTTGCAGCCAGAATATATCTGCCTGCAATGCAACGAAATAAGAATTTGTTTTTGATCCTCGTTAGCAGTGATGAAGTCATGAAAGTCTTCCATTAACTTGACTGCTCTTTCTGCCGTATCGTTAATTGCTCTCAGTATTTGCTGCTTATTTCCTAAAGCGGACCAGAAAGTTCTTCTTTCGATGGGACGTAGCGTTTACCGTGGGCTGATGAACTTTCTTTTGCTAAATTAGCAACAATTTTCACTTTAGTTTCCTCGTCTACGTCTTCGTGACCGCCTCATCTGTCAGATACCATAAATGCTGGCAGAACTCTTGTAAAGCTGCTTTTGAAATGGTTGTGTCAATCCTTTCGTAAGCCTTCGTTGCCTTTAAAAAGCATAAATAATAGATAACACCAATTCGTAGACGTAGATGGCGGCAAGGCAACACAACCATGACTTTATTAAGATTTTGTTCAAGTAGCACGCAGGCACCGTTAACGTATTTGAAATAGTAGTATCACAACAGAGAATGCGAACTTTATCTTCCAGGTTTCTTAACACAGCTAAGTAGAGGTTTAGTCGGTAGACGTGCCTTTTCCCAGTAAATAATGCACTGACGAATGGTAAGGTTGGCGCTCTCATTGACACTTAATTCCACTTCCCGGATATTATAGAACAAAACTGCTAGGACATGTCCATCAGAGGGAAGTTTTGAACCTGTAATTTGATGCTATTGAAAATATTCCATTATCAGAACTGCGTAATTCCTTTGACATATTGGCTTGATGAAAACAGTGCGTTTACTAATAGAACAAACGAGCACTGCAATACGTTAGCTAGCGCACACCTAATACAAGTATGCAAGTGTTGGCATGTTCCAACGCAACTCGGCACAGATTGTCTTGATTCTAACTACATAAAAACTTTATTCACAATCGTTTTGACATTGTTCAATCAAAATTAGAGGGTATGCGTTTGGAAAAAATAACTTTAATTTATTTGAAGAACGATCTCGCCCATTTATGTCAGTCTGTCTGTGCATCTGCTAATCCTTGCACATTCCATAACTCGGGAAACATTGTCCGGATTTGTATGAAATCTTGTCGGAAAGTGACTGCTTTACCAACGACAAGATGGTTTTCAAATACTTCTACATGGTTTTCTTTTGTTTCAGTATATCTCATGGCTGTGATGTTCGTGTACCTCGCAGATGGCCAACAGCAGTACTTCAGGGTCGTGCCGCGTGACATGAAGGTTCAGGAAGGTGGTGAAGCGATGATGGAATGCGAGGTTGCCAATTTGGCGGGTCAAGTTCAGTGGACGAAGGATGGCTTCGCTTTAGGTAGGAGAAACATTAAGATTTTATATTTGAAAGACTCAAAAGTACATAAAACATAAATGTGTTCTGGTAGAAAGTACTCCTGTTTTGTATATGGGTATGACAACTGCCTTCATCAAAGCTTTCGGAAAGTATCCAGTGTTGAAAATGCAGCTTATTTTGTACGCCAGTATTTACGGCTATAGTAATTGGTCATTATAGCTGATATCAGTCGCATTGTTGCTGTCATAATATATGTATAGCTAGCCGAGAAACATAATGATATAATGCATGGTATCATAAAGTGTAGAAGAAACGAAAAAAATTCCCATGTTCTCTTGAATCAAAGTTCAATGAACAATTACTTGATAATGATTGATATACAGTTTATCCCAGTATGCGTACATTGAAGCTGTTAATGTACAGTTTTTCCCAGTATTCATTTCTTTCCACCAGTATAACAATGAAACAGCAGCTACCATGTTGAATCGAATTTCCATCTGAGAAAGTCATTATTTACAGTTAGTACCACCGTACCAACTGTAGAAACCATTGCTATATGGGAAGTTCTATTGTGTACACAGCAATCTTTTGAATGGTAATGTCTTAGGAAATCGAAAACCGTACTACAGAGAAAAATGGGTATAACGTGTAAAAAAACTTAGCAGATATCGGAAAGTTTTAAATGAGAGAGGATTATTGCAATAGTTATCAACATTTATTCAATATTGCTAACATTAGCTTAATTGTTTGTCGATTTTAATCCTTAAAAAACGAAATTGAAAGTCTTTCATGCTCTAAAATATCCAGTTATTGAATTTTGGGCTGTTCCCATTGTTTATAAAAATCTTTTTAAGTTTTTGGCATGAGAAAGGCCCCCCATTCCATTGGAAAAAGCTAAAATGCCGCAGTAAAATACACAATAAATACTTTGATCTATTTTCTTGGCACATTTATCGAAATTGCCTACTAAGCGGTACTTATCAACATTAAAAGAGTATCGCCTTCCTACCGACCGTAGACGACGCGAGATGATGAGTGTCTCAAGAAGTAACCAATTTATAGTAAACTGATGTGCTCTCGTTACTTGCCCACCCGGGTTGCGCAGGAAACCTATAAATCTTTTCCCTTGAAACTCGTTTCGACCCTGCCGTGCTGTCCCATCTCATCCGCAGAAACTCCTTCCCACCTGTAAAGTTCGCTCTAATAAGAAACGCTCCTCGGCCCCGACGAGACAAACTTAGGGCTGTTTGAACTTCCACTTCCATCGCCCAATCTACTCCCTACTTTTGATGATAAGCCATACTTCTCTCAACCTCGGTATCTCGTTAGCCGTATATCAAGAAAATGTTTGCTTTGACTTTTCCGGTGTATAGTTCATTAGCTGGGCCGAATTTCTGAGGAGTATATAACCTGATTTTATTTAATAAATCGGACGTATGCAGGTTTATGATCGTGCTTGTTAGGGTTATTTCGTTTAGCAGTTCTCTCGGAATTGCTGACTTATGTGTGTTTGTACTGTGTACAGACATTTTTGCTGGCTGGACGGCAAACATTATCCAGGAGTCTTCGCTAAGTTGTTGATATAGTCGGGTATCTAATGTGACCAAACAACCAAACAACAGTTACGTTGTCTGACAAAGATATATGCTCATATATATATATATATATATATATATATATATATATATTTCGCGTCCAAGTTGGCATCCGTAAAGAGCTTTTGATAAATGGACTCCTAGAGTATATTTGGGGTATATACTGTTTCGCATCGAGGTCAAATTGGTATTGATACAAAACGTGGTTCAATTGGCATCCAAATGTATATTATGATACTATTTTTCTTGAGTCAATTGGTACCCGGACGGTGTTGCCAGCTCTAGATTTAGCACACACTGCTGCGACTAGATCCACAGAAATGCAGCTGGATAAATTCATAAGCTCTGCAACTACCTTCATGGTACTGATCATTATTTATTCCAGAACGAACATTTTCTAGCATGGTAGGAGTCACCGAATGGCTGGCTTCTATTATTTTCAGCCGTAACGATCCAAAGTGTAGCCATAACCATAAATTCGAGTCTTCTCATATCCCCACCAAAAAGAAAGCATTAGATGCCAAGTCAGGAGATCTCGCTGGCCATCCGGGAAAGTATGTTTAAAAAATTCCCAAACCTCCCTCGCGTTGTTAGCCATCTTGTTGAAACCAAATATTTGTATCATCAAGGTTGATGCCCAGGCTTCGTATAATCCGGGATAATTTCGTGTTGAAGCAGTACCAAATAACTCGAGCAATTTAAGATATCATTAATGAAGAAAGAAAGTGACTTGGTAATGCACATCTTGCATTACTCAGGATGATGCTCGGTAGCTGGCAATCTTTCTTGTATCAATCTTAAATCAATTTTGAGTAACGTCCAACAATATCTTTCCCCGCATAAAAAAAGGATCCTTGCTTAAATATGTACTCCCATCACGGGATATGCCTGCATTCAAGGATGAAATATAAAGGTCCCGTTGTCGGGACCGAGGATCGGTAACTGACCCCGCACAACTGATTAATGATCTAGATAAGACCATCTCGCTGCAAAAAATTAAATTATGCTGTAGTTTTTCAAGCGCAACGTCCGCTAACTTTGAAACTCCCTCGGATGTTATGCTGAATTTCGATTATCTGAATTTGAGCGAATACGCTGAGGATGATTCATGGAATAACTTTGAGTGTTTGTGAATTCAGCTGCGGCTGGGGCGGTATAAATTAAACAATGGGGTGAAGCATAAGCTAAGCTGGGAAGGATTTATTACGCGACCTTACAAAGATGGGGTCAAGTCTCTGAGCCATTCCCAACCTCCAAAACACCGTGGTGTAAGTTACCCAGCAGTGCTGTAAAGTACAGGGAAAAAGTGGGGCTCGTCATCAGCTGGATCAGTCCTTGGGGAAAAGCGAACGCGTCAACTGCACGACTTGCTGCATCGGTCTTGTTTGAGCCTAACCTAAGCTCATTATGGGCATTGAAATCACCGAGGAGAGCTACCTCTGAAGCGGGGTGATTGATGTTCAGAATGCGGATCTTGACAGCGAGGTACCCTTCCGGTCTGATTCCAAAGCAACGTCTCTAGAGCGGAAAAGACTGCTGCGGACAAAACCAATTAACCAATTAACAATTGATTATATATATATATATATATATTATTAAATAAAATTATTAACCCTTAACCGGAAAGGTGCCGTCTGTGAGACTGCGGCGTTTCTATACCTGAGCGTATCTTTTTTTATTGCACCTCTAACAGACGTAAAAACCCATCTAATCCATAAGCTATTAGTGACCATCGCCCACCCCCATTCACACGAGTCTAGCCAAAACGTGCCTTAAAATATGGACCAATTTTAGTTTGTTGCAGTCTGTCAGACGGCACGTTTCCGTTCCCGTTTGCTATTTGTGTTGCATAGGTGCGTTTGCGAGTATGGCGGGACCTTCTAAACGTGTACGATACGATGATCCGGAGTTCGAAGAAACCGTTCTAAAATGGTTTGAGGATGAAGGAAGTGACTTTAGTGATATAGACAGTACCTCAGAAGACGAATACATGGAATCAGATCATACAAGTGATAGTGAGTTATCAGAAGACGGAGCCGAAGGAAATGAAGAGGATTTACCAGCTCAGAATTATTTCTATGGAAAAAATCGTCATAGGTGGAATATTTCGGAAGTTGTACCATCATCACGTACAAGGAAGCACAATATAGTCATTAAAGTACCAACTCTAAGAGGAAAAGCTCATGAATATGGAGAAGAAGCAGCTCCGTTGACGGTTTGGCAGCTTTTGTTCACTGACGACATGTTGGTACATATCGTTAAGTGGACCAATCACAAGCTCAAAGAAATGCGAAAGAGATACAAAAATCAAACCAGCAACCTAAACGACACTGATTTAGTCGAAATAAAGGCACTATTGGGTCTCTTAGTATATACATCGGTGTTCAACAGCAACCACGAGAACATTGAAACACTTTTTGCCACCGATGGCTCTGGAAGAGATATATTCAGAGCTGTCATGAACATAAAACGATTTGGTATTCTCCTGTCAGCCTTAAGGTTTGATAACCCAGATGACAGGAATGAAAGAAAGAAGCTAGATCCAGTAGCACCAATATCTTTCATTTTTAATAGTTTTATAAAGAACTGTCAAGATGTGTACGGAGTTGGCCAGTCTGTCACTGTCGATGAAATGCTCGTGAGTTTCAGAGGAAGATGTCGATTTAAAATGTATATGCCTGCGAAACCTTGCAAATATGGCATAAAAATTATGGCATTGACGGATGCAAGGAATAGCTACCTCTATAACGCATATATATACTGCGGTAAAGATTCCGATAGTTTCGAACTTCCTGAGGAACACAAGCGGTATTCCAAACCCACACAATCAGTTCTACGTCTCGCGAAGCCTCTGTTTGGAACTAATCGCAACATTACAGCGGACAACTGGTTTACGTCAATAGAATTAATGGATGTCCTATTGAAGAACAAACTGACCTATGTGGGTACAATGAAGAAAAATAAAAGAGAAATTCCTCCGGCATTTTTACCCAACAAATCAAGAGAAGTCGGATCAACAATGTACGGATTTCGAGAAGATTCCACTATTGTGTCTCATGTAAGCAAAAAAAATAAAGCCACAATACTCATATCTTCTATGCACCACAGAAAATATTGTGATCCGGAAACACAGAAACCGGAAATAATAGCCTATTACAATGCTAATAAAGGTGGAGTTGATTCTCTTGATGAAAAATGTTCGAAGAGTACCTCAAGTCGCCGTTCGCGTAGGTGGCCACTGGTTATTTTCTACCGACTATTGGATATATCGGTAGTGAACTCGTATATTTTACACCAGTGCTATAAGAAAAATGAATTGCAGAAGGAAAAATCGGTATTTGCTAAGATGTTGGCCGCTAACCTGGTCCGTGAGCATATGGAAAAGCGACTAGAGAGTCCCCGTTTACCTCGGGATTTGCGACTTAC